ATTTGAAAGAAAAAAGTCGCAATTTTGGAAATACGTTTTTGTTTCATTTCAGCCTTGTTTGAAGTGATATTGAAAAAAGAAGAACACTTTCTCATAGCAAACTTTTTACTTTCTATCAAATGGCTTAATCAATTTTTATATATAACGTTTCGTCTCTCCAGGACCATCATCAACTTCATTTTTTTAAATACCTACGACCCTGAAAATTTTATTACATTTTCTTCCAAACCTTCATGACCCGTAATACTATACTGTCTCAGCCCGAACCAAATTCAGACGCTTTGTTTCGAAAAATTCATCTTCTGTGCGCTCTCCGAATTTGAACCCCTTAGATTTTTTTGTATGGGGTACAACGAAGAGTCATGTCATGTCCATTAACGACGAAGCTATACTCTCCGGGAAAAGATTGTTCAAGCAGCCCAAGAAATCACACCATCAGAGTCACAATCTGTCGTCCGTAGATGCAAACATTGCATTGAAAATGATGGCAGCCGTTTTGAGCCGGTTTTATTATTATTTTTTTAATTAGCTGCTGTTCGACGACACATTTTCTTCTCTTCCATTTTCATTTTTTTTTTCTAATAAAGTAATTGTTGTTGCTGCTTTTTTTATTAGTGTTTCCCAAAAACAGTTTGTAATTGAGATTAAAGTTAGTTTCACAGAACCCCTATAAGTACACCACTGATTAATAATTCTGAAAAATTTTAACTTTGAAACAACCACTTGCTTCAGTTTAATTTTTGCACCAAAATTCTACATTTACGTTAAATGGTTTTAGAAACTGTTCTTAGTAAACATTTTCAGATACATGTTTATGTAAACTTTTTTTGCTTAAAATAAAATTTCCTATGCATGGTTTACGTATGGCGGTTTAACCCTGAATCACTCAATATAAATCTTTAACAAAATTTTCAGAAGACGAATGTTAAATATTTACAGTAAGAATCTAGATTAATTGTAGCTTCAGAAAAAAAAAGCGTTTTTTTTGTACAAAATATAATATCAAAACATAACCTAAATTTCATGTGTTACTAGGTTCAAAACCCTTGTTCTCATAGCTCATTTTATCTTGCAGTTTATTTCTTTCTACATGTAGTTCCACCCCCTGATTTAGGGGTTCACTCTCGATGGCCCATGGTTGAATTTCACCAGATGCGAAAAGGCCATATATTACTGCCCCAACAAGATAAATTCCTGCTGAGATGTAGAAGACTATCCTCCAGTCGTCAGCGCTCTTCTATAACAAAATTGGCAATGATTTGTATCAAATCTAGATCAAATGTACTTATTTGTACTTTTTTTTTGTCTAATTTGGTATCTATGCACCTCAGCCTAAAATATTTACATAATTCAAAATTTATTTAGTGACAAGTAATTGACGAGATCAAATTATGGTTAAAGATGGAAATCTTGGAAAGATCTAGGTCAGCTTCAAACAACCTTTCAGTTAACATTTTTTGAAAGATATGTTTGCGAAATTGATAAAACTGTACTTACTTCATCGGTTACGATATATCCAGTCAAAATTGGACTTATTATGCCTGGTAGAGTGGCGAAAGTATTGCTGAGTCCAAGTAATACACTAGCATGTTTAGGAGCTATGTCCAAATGGTTTACACTGGAACAAATTAGTAATATTTTCAGATCATAACAAATTTGATGTGTGTCTTCTTAAACTGAGCAAGCAATTACAAGAAATTGAAGATAAATGTGAAATGAGAATGTCACTTT